TTTCACTTACATGTGGAATCTAAAAAACAGAACAAATGAGCAAACAAAACAAAACAGGAATAGACTTAGAACAAACTGTTGGTTATCAGAGCCAAGAGGTGAACTAGGTGAAGGGGATTAGGAGGTACAAAACTTCTAGTCATAAAATAAATAAATCATGGGGATGGAATGTACAGCATAGGGAATATAGTCAATAATATTATAATAACATTGTATGGTGATGGATGGTAACTACACTTAGCAGGGGCATCATTTCTTAATGTATAAAAGTATCAAATCACTATGATGTACACCAGAAAGGAATAGGATATTGTACGTCCCATAGTTAATGCTTTAATTTTAGAAAAATGTAATTTATTTACCCACATGGTTACAATTGTCACTGTTCTTCTTCCCTTCAAGCAGATCTAAGATTCCATCGGGTGTCTTTTGTCTTCTGATTGTAGGACTTCCTTTAAGATTTCTACAAGTGCCGGTCCGCTGCTGATAAATTCTTTCAGCTTTCATGTGTCCATAAAAGCCTTTATTTTTTAAATAAAAATATTCTACGGATACAGATATAGATTTCTAGATTTACAGACTACATTTCCTTTCAGTACTTTAAAGATGTCACTTCTCTATTCTCTCACATTGATTCTGAAGGGAAATCTGTTGTCATCCTTGGTTTTGTTCCTCTCTGTGTAATATCTCTTTTTCCTCTGGCTGTTTTTAATGTTTTGTCTTTAGACTGTTCCTGAGAAATTTGATTATGATGGGTGTTGGTGTATTTTTCATCATGTATCTTGTGCTTGGGATCTGTAGAGCTCCTCGGCTCTGTGAGTTTTTAGGTTTCATCAAATTTGAAAAATTTTGACCGATATTTCAAGTATGTATTTATTTTGTTTGTTTTACCATCCACTCCTTTGGGGACTCTATTTGTGTAACAAGCTACTTGAAATATTTTTTTCCAATTTTCTTTTTTTTTTTTAAGATTTTATTTATTTATTTGACAGAGAGAGATACGGCAAGAGAGGGAACACAAGCAGGGGGAGTGGGAGAGGGAGAAGCAGGCTTCCCGCGGAGCAGGGAGCCCGATGCGGGGCTTGATCCCAGGACCCCGGGATCATGACCTGAGCCGAAGGCAGACGCTTAATGACTGAGCCACCCAGGCACCCCTTTTTTCCAATTTTCTTTGGAATATATTTTACTTTTTAGGGCTGTTTTAGGTTTACAGAAAACTTTTGCAGAAAGTACAGCGCTTTCCCCAAAGGGATACACTCCCTTTATCCACCCTGGCAGTCTCTCTCATTATTAGCATGTTCCTTGGTGTTATGTGTTTGTTACAACTAAGGAGGCAGCATTTATACATTATTATGAAGTAAAGCTCATAGTTTACCTGAACATTCCTTCTGTGCAGTTCTATGAAGAATGTTCTGTATCCTCCATTAAGGTATCATCCAGAAGTTCCAGTGCTTAAAAATGTCATGGAACACTACATCAAAAACTAATGATGTACTGTTTGGTGATTAACATAACATAATAAAAGGAAAAAAATGTCCTGTGATCCACGTAGTCATCCCTCCTCCCCTCCCCTGCTGTCCCTGGAAACCACTGATCTTTTTATTGTCTCTATATAGTTTTGCCTTTTCCAGAATGTCATAGAGTTGTAATCATACATTTTATAGCCTTTTCAGATTGGCTTCTTTCACTTAGTGATAAGCACTGACAGTTCCTCCAGGTGTTTTTCGAGGTTGCATAGCTTGTTTCTTTACATTGCTAAATAATACTCCATTGTATGGATATACCATAATTTGTTTATTGTTAAAGAAAAAATTGTTCTGATGCTTGTTAAAATGTAAAGGAAGACTTTATTCAGGACTATTGCAAATAGGACTCATGACTATTCCAACAGGGGAGAGAAATTTTTCTCAACTCCAAATACAGCGAGGACAAGTGGGGATTTCTAGCCAAAGGGCAGAGGAGATTAGTGGATAGAAGATTACCCAGAGGAGACATAAAGGCTAAAGGCAGGGACTGACTCACACATCAAAGTAAGATGAGGAACTTGATCAGATATCAGAGTGGCCAGATGTCAAAGAGTGGGGATGACTGAGTAGGAGTCTTACTAAAACTCGGCTGGAGGAGAACAGACAGAAAGAAGTTCAAGGTCAAAGACTAGTCCAGAAGAGGGCTCACAGGAACCTGACAAAGGTTTCGGCAAGGAAAGAGTCTTTGTTATTACCCACTCGCATACTGAAGGACCTCTTTGTTGCTTCCAAATTTTGGCAATTACGCATAAAGCTGCTATAAAAATTCGTAGGTAGGTTTTTGTGTCCCCCATCTAGAAATTCAAGGCAGCGCACTGGGTCAGTCACAGGGCTCGCCTGCTTCTTCCAGCTTCTCAAGAATCACTTTCCTCTATCGCCTGATGGCCAGTCTTGACAACAGTGGCTCTGTATGTCTTATCTGCTTGTTGTTTCAGAGAAAAGGGTAAATTCAGCCCCTGCCACTCAACCTTGGCCATGAGCAGAAGTCCCAGTCAGATGCTATTAACCACAGTAAAAGAAAGAAGAAAAATCACTAGAAATTTTTTTTTACTTGCCTAAGGTCATACTGCTGATTACTATTTGCCGGGGGCCAGGGGCAGTACCGCTTCAAGTGGGCCGTCTGCATTCCAGTCCTTGGAACAGAAAGGTGAGGAGGGTACTTGACGTGCATGTGCAAGGTGACCTAGCCTTGCTGATTCATGAGACATGACAGATGAAAAATGCCACTGTTGCTGACACCCAGGCCTAAGTCCAAGTTGCTGAAAACTGTGAAGAATGACAATTTCCTGTACTGCCAAAGAGGTTATGAGGCCATTTTACCCATATTCCAGGAAAATCCCAACACCAATCAAAAGGGGCCTGAGACACTTAAGAAGACCTGATAGATAGGGCTACCCTGTGAGCCAGTCCTCCTTCTGCTCAAATCTGCATTCCAGTTGTCACTGGGTAGCGCATACCAGACACCCCCACCTGCCCTTCCGAGCCGTCATCCAGTTCTATCCTAGCATCTACATGAAAAGGCTGAAACCAGATTTTCAAGCACCCAATCAAAAATCTAAAAGATTATTACAGTCATAATGTCTTCACAACAAGAAATAAAATTAAATAAGAAAACAAATTTCATGTGGGCGATGTGACTGTCCATCTTGTAAGTTCCTATGGAGGCAGCAACCATGTGCTTGTTGGACGTGTACTCAGTAGGATTAGGGGGTCAGGAATACCAGCACATCAACAGCAAGAACACACTCATGTGGAAGCTGGTATAGCCACCAGATGAGATGATACCATCTCCACCCCCTAAAACATGCAGTGTCACACAAAAGTAATCAATTTCATGACAAATTTCCAAAATGGCAGTTAAAACAGGAGTAGGCATTGAATTCCTTTATCTGACAGGAAACCTGAGAAAAAAATAGCGGATTTACACATACAAGCATAGCCGTTTGAAGTTCCAGGTTTTTCTGTAAGTGACACTTTGTAGATTATAAACATGTTTCTATAACACATCGTTAACATTTGCAGCCTGCCAAGTAAAAGGCACTCACTCTATCCTCCTGCCTGTCAGGTTTAGAGGTCTCTGTACAAATTTCATTTGCTTTATTTTAATTATTTGGGGTATCAACTTTTCATATCTCTTGATTAAAGCCAATCTTTCCCTTCCTTTCCTAAGTGTGCTCTTGCTCAGGTGCTGGAATTCATGAGCGTGTCCCGGAGATCAAAATATACTTGAGAAAACGACTAGCTAGCAGGATGCACCATAGTCTAATGTTTGATTGCTTACATCAAAGAGATCATATGCAGGAATTCAGAAACCTTTCATAATTTGCTCATGTTGTGAAGTCTTAAAGCAACACCTACTTGCTTGCTGCAGAAATTATTACAAAGCTCCCCCAGCTACCCACTGCATAAGACAACAAAGTCACATTCTCTTTGCCCTGACATTATATTGTGTCAGTCTACTGTAGTACTTGCAAGGCGAAGCTTAAAAAATTTTAAAACACTGTTTGCTAACTAGAGTCTAGCTGTGAGCTTGTTTTTCAGGGCTTTTTTAAATCTATAAAATGACACAGTATGTCCTGTATGTATACCTTTTTATGTCTCTGAATCTCAGACTGTATTCCTGGGTTGACTTATAAGAATGTAATTTTAAAAATATATAATATGTTGTTATAAAAGGGACACAACCAACTCAGGATTTTCTCTTTGGCAACATCCTAGCAACATGGGACACAGTCAAAAATGTTAAAATGATCCTTTTTTATTTCACAAGGAAGACAAGAATATTCGATTGATTCTGTTTCAGTTACATTACACCTTAATGCCAAGGTTTTATTCCACTTGAACTGTATTGTCCTCCTTCCGTCCCTTCTCCTCCCCACTCCCCCACTGCCTGCCTGTCTCTAGGACGGGGTATGGAGGGAGGGGGCGGAACCAGAGCAGGAAGCAAACACACTGGGTTTGAGACACTGAAGTCTGAGTCAGAGTATCTATCAGTCAAAATACAGTGATGTCTGGGTGGCTCAGTCCGTTAAGCGTCTGCCTTCGGCTCAGGTCATGATCCCAGGGTCCTGGGATGGAGCCCCACGTCGGGCTCCCTGCTCCTCGGGGAGACTGCTTCTCCCTCTGCCCCTCCCCAGCCCTTGTGTGCTCTCTCTCTCTCTGACAAATAAATAAATAAAATCTTTTTAAAAAATCAAAATACAATACAATTAGGTTACAGTTTAAATCTTACCCACTTGCTAACACTAATTTTATGTCTTAGTTCTAGCGACATAAGGCATTTTGAAACCAAGTCGAGGGACACTCGGATGTCTCAAAGAAGCCACCAGCACTGTCAGAACGAACTGACCATTGGGTTTTCATTAGTCCTCAGCTGATGGCGCCTTGCTGTTTGTCACCGCCCACCCCCACCCTGCCCCCCAGCCCCAGCCCCTAGCAGGCACAGAGGGGACAAAGCAGAGGAACTGTACTCACCAGCCTTGATGTGGACATCCTGACTTCTAATTTTCCCTGAAGGATTTTCAGCTGTGCAATAATAAGTATTATCATGGATTAAGGTACTAAAGCTTGAAGGAGGGAAGGGAAAAATTTGGAGAGTGCCGTTGGGGTGGACGTGGCGGATCCCGGGGACATCGTAGATCTCCTCGCCCGTTGCTAGGTACCATCTGAGAGACACAGGAGGGACGCCTGCAGCGGGGCAGGGCACCAGCGTCCCCGCGGTGCTCGCAAACACTACCTCTTGCAGAGATGCATTGACAAAGTAGAGGCTGGAGTGAAGGTCCTCACTGAAAACTACAAGAAGACAACACAAGAATTGGTCAGTAAGGTGCACGTCCCGAACTTGGCCTTCAGTCAACCTGGCCTCGCAAGGTTGTTTTGAGAAACAATCGCCAGGTTTGACTAAAATGAAATCATTCAAAGTTTCTCAACTACTATGGACAGAGAGGCTGGTACTAAGGAATAAGCTACCATCCCCACTTCATACCTTGTACACAAACTGATAAGTTATCCCAGATCTTAACTTATAATAGATTACTTACCAGCCTGTTCCCCACACCCCATTCTGCCTTCACAGTACTGGCCACTACTGGGACTTATGCTGTGTATTTTGTATTCGTCTGTTGTCTGTCTCCCCATGAGAACAAGGTCACGATTTGTTCATGCTCTTACCCAGAGCGCAGCGCCTAACACCCAGCAGGTACTGGGTGAACAAAAGCTAAAGGAATGAATGACTAGGTCCAGTCGCTAGGACCATATTGCTCTGGTTGGGAGGTACACTGAGAAATATTCTGAATGAAATTAGTCACAATTTTGAAAAATTAAAACCTACGTTTATAGGTAAAGCATTTTTAAAAAGCACAACTGTTTTTCTAAAAATAGTATCCAATCAACGATGCATTTTTTTTTTTTATTGAAAAGGTGCAGTAATAACATAGAGAACTTTGACAGAAGGATCACTCAATTCCACCAGCCCATGACAGTTTCTGTTCTGATTTTTATATTTCTTGTCCTGGTCCATCTGCCTACGGGCTGTACCTATATGATCATTCTATGTCATAATGTGTATACATAAAATATGTAATTGTTACAGACTGTGTTCATTCTCTTAACATTATTTCATATACCAAATTCCATATTCCTGTACAGACCTTGCAAGTGAATAGTGGATGCACATTTTCCCTAATATGATTTTCTAAACTATTTTCTTAATCTTAGTTATTTAAATTGTTTCTGTTTTAATTGCTACAAATAAAATATCTACAAACCAGTTCACACATATTTGGCTTTTTAATTCACTGAGTGAGTGCCCATGTTGCACTCAGTAACAAATAGTCACAAAGTGTCATTTATGTGAACAAAGGAAACAACTTCTAGAATCCAAAAATTAACCAGAAGATGTTAAAATGCCATGAAGACCTACTTCTCAGATGTTAGCGCTTATATATGACTTCCTAAAAACAGATGCTTGTCACATATTCACAAGAGAGAAAAGAAGCCCTCAATACTTGGAATTAATCTCATTGGGCAGAGATGTGAATCCTAGTTAGGGAGCACCTATACCATCCCAGGACATGTTACGATACTCAAGCTGTTATTCTAGTCTTGTGAGTAGCAGCTCTGCCAGAGGAGTAGAGGCTCCCCCCGCTGCAGAAGAAGATGGGGAGATTCACAGGGTTGTCACTTGACCAAGGATTCAGGGTTCGGAGGTCACAGACGCAGAATTCGGTCTTTCTGATGAAGATCTAATCTCATTATACAGCTGCCTTTACTCTATAAAGCCGATCCCCAGGAAAGCTGTGTTTATGCGATTCAGCATCCCCCAGATAGCTCCCTTGAACATCCCCCCACTTCCTCTTCCATCTCTCTCCTGGGCAGCGCCCACCAGCTTGCCCACCGGGGCCAGTGCCGACTATCTCTGAGCGGGCAAACAGAGGGGATGCCGTGTGTCAAAAGATGGTGAAGAAAAATCCACTTTATAAAAGTGATAGATTTACTCAAAAAGACAGGCAGGGGTGTTCATCAAGTTGTAAGTGTTTGATGGCTTTCTCTGCCAACCATAACTAAAGACTTTAGCAATGCTCCGTAAATCAGAATATGAAAATTATTGCTAACTAAGAAATTGGCTCAGATCGGAAGCACAGTTAATAGTTAAACATTACAGCTTTCAACTCAAATAAAAATGCTGATAGTAGCACTGTGATTTTACATTTGAGCTTTCTAGGAAACTGACATCACCCCAAACACATTGTTAGGAGCGAGGTAACTGTCACTCTTCGAGGCTAATTAATTCCACCCGGATTCTTTTTTGTTCCCCCCACACACACATGACTCTTCTGTCAACTGGATTTGGGTAATTCGAACTAAATAAAATTTAGTCATATTTGAATTCATTCTCTCGTCTCATAAAAGTAGCCTTGTTAAGAATAGCAAGTCTTGGAAAATGTGAATGTATGTAAGAAATATTTCATATATGCATGTGAAATTATTTAAATGACTGTGAGAAAAATGCAAAATAAATGTTTAATCCTAGTAGTTAGGAAGATAAGTGACCCACAGGGGATTACTGTCACTTCTCCTTACATTTTTTAAAGGTATTTCCCATTAGTCTTCCTACTTCACACCACTGGGTTTAATAATGTAACATAAACTCATTCTCTAAGATACACATCATATGGCCACAGGCAAGAGAAAACCCAAACTACATTCCAGCAGCTTCTGTTTCTTCCATCTAAGGGGCCATCCATCTGCTTAAATAATAGTACTTCATTTTATGGCATGCTGCATGCACTTTAAATACAGCATCATTTGCTCCCTCCAGTAAGGGCACAGGCAATCTCACTGTGAATTAAGTGTGTGTGAAATTTCCCTGAAACTAACTGCAGTTTAATAACAGAAAGCTAAACAAAACATTTGGCATTATCTTGCCGCACAACTTGGCATATAAAATCCTGGGGTATGATTATAAGAACATATTATGAGCAACTCTATGCCAGCAAATTAGATAACCTGGAAGAAATGGGTGCATTCCTAGAGATCTATCAACTACCAAAATTGAACCAGGAAGAAATAGAAAACCTGAACAGACCTATAACCACT